CTTTTACTTCTTTGTCTGAGAAATGTCTGTTCATTTCAGATGCCCATTTTTGAATTGGGTCTTTGAATTTGGGAGGTCTGATTTTTTTCGGTTCTTTATATATTCTAGATAGTAGACCTTTGTCTGAGGTACAACTGCTAAAAGTTTTTTCCCACATTGTAGGTTGTCTGTTAGCTCTGTTGGTGGTTTCTCTTGCAGTGCAGAAGCTTTTTAATAAGATGAAATCCCAGGGGCTAGGATTTAACTCAGTGGTTATGCTGCCTGCCTTGTAAGAACAAGGACCCAAGTTCAATCCCCAGTAACAAAGAAAACCCTCCCAATAAGATGAGATCCCAGGGCCGGGGATTTAGCTCAGTGGTTTTGCTGCCCACTGCACAAGCACAAGGACCTGAGTTTGATCCCTGGTACAAAAAAAAAAAGATGAGATCCCAGTTGTTGACTCTTTGTGCTAGTTCTTGTGCTACCGAGGTTTTGTTCATAATCTTTTCCTAACAGCATAGTATTTCTACAAGCCAAAAGAAGTACTTCAGTGTCAAATTTTATTTTTCTGAAAAAAAATTTTTTTTTCTATACTGAATTAAATTCTTAAAATTTCAGGTGGCCCGGGGATTTAGCTCAGTGGCACTGTGCCTCCCTTGCGGGATCCCTGGTACTGAAAAAAAAAAAATCTTATAAATTCAAAGCCAGAGCTGGGCCTCATGCATGCCTGTAGTGCTGGCTCCTCCAGAGGCTGAGGCAGGAGGATCACTTGAACCCAGGTGTTTGGGGCTACCCTGGGCAACAGGAGAGCCTATTTTAAAAGAAAAAGAAAGATTCAGGAATTTGGGGGCTGGGGTGTTGCTTTGTGGTAGTGCACATGTTAGCATGCAGGAGGTCCTGAGTTTATTCTGTAGTGTGTGCACACACATACTTGGGCACACACAATTTCAGAAGAATATTTAAGCAAATTTTTTTTTTTTTTGTCATTACTGAGGATTGAATGGAAGGCCTTTGCACTGAGCTACTACCATCCCTGCCCCTTTCTTTATCTTTTATTTTAAGATGGGGTCTCTCTAAGGCAATAAGTTGTCCAGATTGGGGTTGAACTTGGAATCTTCCTACCTCAGCCTCCTAGAGTGCTGGGATTTCAGCTGTGTGCCACCACACCTGGCTTAAACATATTACTTTCAAGGCTTGCTCATATAATTTATGATCACCATAGAAACATTTCAACAGTCTTTGCCATAAATGTTTCCTCACTCAGTGAACATGTAGCTAGCTTCTGGCTGGGACCAATCAGGCTGAAGTTAAGTCGGGTTAAAAACATCCACTTGGCCATAATAATGTCATTTCTATTCGGTTCACCTGCCTCGGCCTCCTAAGTGCTGGGATTACAAATGTGCGCCACCACACTTGGCTTCAGAACTTTAATTTCTTTCTTTCTTTTTTTTTTTTTTTTTGGTACTGGGGATCGAACTCGGGTCCTTGCGCTTGCGTACCAGGCAGTGAAACCACTGAGCTAAATCCCCAGCCCTTTAATTTCTTTCTTTTTTTTACTCAAATCATCTAATGTAATAAAAGCAATCTATAATAACATTTCTAAATAATTGCATAACAAACTGTAGTGTATTATGGATTGTCAGTGATTAGTGATACTACTGAGATGGAAATATTGGTTGGCAGGTGGAACCACAATGAGAAACCCTCACATCTGTCAGTGTGTGGACAAAAGTTAAGTTTTTTCTTTGTTTTTGTTTTGAAGCAGGGTTTCTCTATGTATCCCTGGCTGGCCTTGGCTTGTGGTGATCCTCCTGCCTCAGCCAGCTGAGTCCTGAGACTACAGGTGTGTGCCACCATGCCCAGTTTGAAAGTGTAGCTTTCATATATGCTCAGTTTGTTATTTACTTAATTGATAAAATCAGTAGATATTTGTTGAGTGCCAGTACCATTCTAGGAACTAAGAATGTAGCACTAAAGAAAAATAGGAAGTAGTGATTTTATGTTGTTTACTATCTGATTAGAAGACGCCAAACCAGGCGTGGTGGGACACACCCTGTAATCCCAGCACTTGGGAGGCTGAGGCAGAAGGATCCCTGTGAGTTTGAGGCCAGCCTGGGCTACATAGTGAGTTCAAGGCCAACTTGACTACCAAGAGATCCTGTCTCAAGATAAATAAAAAAATTTTTCTTACTGTCTTTTTTTTTTTGGTACTGGGGATCGAACTCTGGTCCTTGCACTTGTGCAGCAGGCTGCGGAACCACTGAGCTAAATCCCTGGCCCATAAATAAATAAATTTTTAAAAAGCCGAAATGCAAATTAATCCTAAGATACTATTTTTTTGCCTATCAGATTAGTAATAGTATCTAAATTGGTATACTTTTTTCTTTTTCAGTACTAAGGATCAAACCCAGGGCCTCATACATGCTAGTTAAATGCTCTATCACTACCTGGACATGGTGGAGCATCCTTGTAATCTCAGCACTTTGGAGGCTGAAGTAGGAGGATTTCCACAAGTTCAAGGCCTGCCTAGGCTACATAGTGTCTCAAAAATCAAAGCAAGGTCCTAAGTTCGATCCCTGGTACCAAAAGTCAAAGCAAAACAAAATGCTCTAGTACTGAGCTATACCCTCAGCCCTGGTATGTCTGTGTAAATTAAAATATCTATATGGACCAGGGATTTAGCTTAGTGGCACTGCAGCAGCCTTGAAATGCAAGGTCCTGAGTTCGATCCCCAGTACCAAAAAAACAAAAAACCCCCAAAACAAAGAAACTATATATTTTAACTCAGAGTACTCACCTTCAGGAATCTATTATAACTAAGAAATCAGAAAGGAAGACCAAGGTTTACATTCAACCAGTTTGCTTACCACATAATCTTTAAGTGAAAAATTAGAAACAACTTAAATAATGTTTTTTTTTCTTTGCTTGTTTTGCAATGCTAGGGATTGAACTCAGGGCCTCACACATGAGATAAGCACTCTACCATTGAGCTACATCCTCAGCCCAAAATGAGGCTTTTGAAGATTTGAAATACTAGGAAAACACTCATGCTACATAGTACTGTTAAGAAGGTAAACATTCTGATTTTTACAATGTAAGCCTGCCAAGGGTGTTGGCACACGCCTGTAATCTCAGCACTCAGGAGGCTGAGGCAGAAGGATCGCCATGAGTTTGAGGCCAGGCTGGGCTACATAGTGAGAGACCCTGTCTCAAAAAAACCAAAATCAAACTCAAACAAAACAAACCAAAAATAAATAATGACCTTCATTGGAGACTATAGGCAATATATGTGTCTCTTGGATTTTTCATGCATTTCATTACAAACATGGCCTAAGATAGTTTTGGTTACTCTAAGAAATAAAGTGATTATGTTGCTAAGTTCTGTGTATGGTATCAAAACCCAATACAAATAATTTGAAAAAATATTCCATTTAACCAGTATTTGAGAACAAATTTAATGTAGAGGCTAAACTCTAGGGGATCACATATCTTGAAATAGAGGTGTGGTAGGTTAGTTGCTCGACTTTGTATCTGGGGACTGCTGGTTGCTCCTATATACCGAGTAAAACATTAACTTTTTGATTTTTCACAGTAAGAAGGAGTGAAGCAGGCGCCCGCAGGCCTGAGCCTGTGGAAAAACAGCTGTGAAGATAATGAAGCTCCCGATTTTCATAGCTGATGCGTTCACAGCAAGAGCATTCCGTGGGAATCCTGCTGCTGTTTGCCTCCTAGAAGATGTAAGTGCTTGGTTTTCAAGTACAATGCCTGAAATTCTAGATTCCTGAAAAATCATAGAAAGAAAGAAAGGGAGAAAAGCAAGGCTCTTTTACTGGTTCACCTCTTTGATTTGTGCTCGTCAGTGGTGTTAATGCTGATGGTGAACAAATTCCATGGCAAAGGTGTTAATACTGAGGCTGGGTCCAGGGAAATGAAGATTCGGGTAAAGAGGAACTGGGGCCTGCTTGTTTGTTTGTTTGTTTGAGACAGACTCTTGCTATGTAGCCCAGTCTGCCCTTGACCTGGTAATCCTCCTCCCTCAGCCTCCCGAGTGCTGGGATTACAGTGTACACTACTGCACCCAGTGTACCTGGGGCCATTTTAAAAAGAAGAAGCAGGGCTCCCTTTTACCCATTAGGATTCCATTGAGTTAGCACCCACTGTGGAGGAGGGTGACATTAGATGAGCTTTAAGTATTAGACCTGGCACCATATATTCTAGTTCTGTATCTCTCACCTGACCTATAGTTTAGACATTTAGAAAATCTTTTCAGGAGCAAGCAAATTAGACCTTTCACAAAGAACTAAGTAATTAAGTAAAAATGTAGAGTGAATTGAGCTCTAATATGTACAGAACTCAGCTTACCAAGTCTCATTTTAAAAATAGCTTTTTTTTTTTTTCTGGTACTGAGGATTAGGCTCAGAGCTTTAGCACTCAGCTATAGTCTCAACCCTTTTTATTTTTTTTTATTTTGAGACAGAGTCTTGGTAAGTTGCCCAAGCTCACTATGTAGCCCAGGCTGGCCTTGAACTTGCTTGTGGTGATTCTCCTGCCTCAGCCTCCTGTATATTGAAATTATGGATGTGTGCCACTGTGCATAGCTAAAAATATTTTTTTAATTTGGATAAATTTTTTTTAGCAATGGCAAAGTTTCACATATATATATTATATAATATATAATATATATAATATTATATATTATATATATTATATATTATATAATATATATAATATTATATATTATTTATATATATATATATATATTTTGGTACCAGGGATCAAACTCTGGTCCTTATGCTTGCACAGCAGGCGGCAAAACCACTGAGATAAATCCCCGGCAGTTTCACATATATTAAAGGTAGGAAAAAAATGGAAAGGTAGGGGGAAAAAAGGGCTCCACAAAGTGAGCTTGGGCTATGTAAAAGCAAGAAAAAGGGAGGAAAAAAAAAAGAAAAATGAACACCACCACCGCTCCACAGTGAAGAGTTTGCTACCATGAAGAGACATGATAGCCTAGGATAAATATTAATGGCATAGTTACATATTCCTGGAATGTAGGGGCTTTGTGCTGTTCCTGGGAGAGGGTGAGGTACCCTTCTTCTGCTCAGAGCAGTTAGTAGAAGAGTGGTTGTCTGAGAATGGGGCGAGGGATGGAACTCGGTGGGATAACACTTGCCTAGCATAGGTGAGGTGCTAGGTTCCATCCCCAGCACTGCAAAAAAGATAACCTGAGAGCTGCTTTGAGAAGACAGTGAGCAGCTAATGGTGTGAAGTAACTTGTGCTAAGCTGGGCAAAGTGTACATTGAAGCCTTTGAGCTCACTGGACCTTACCTCCTCACAAGGGTCGTTAAAGGCTGCACCCCAGACCGATGACAGCAGACCCTCTGGAGTTTGGCCCCAGGTAGCACTGCCTTTTAGAGCTCGCAGTGAAAGTGGAGAAACACTGGGTTTTACCGAGACAGGTGGGCATCCTTAACTGGGCCTGGACGCTTCTCCCTGCTGGGGAGTCGGAACGTGGTGACCGAGGAGCCTCACCTTATCTTACCTATGCGCTCACTGTGTGACCCTGCAGCTAGCATTTTCCTTCTACTCAATGCAGAAGGTGATGACATTCATAGATTAGCAAGAGAATAATTAACAGTGAGATTCCAAATCATGAACTTTGTATAAGAACAATCTGACAAGCACAACTTCTTGCCAAGGGATTGTGGGATTGACAACAGTGGTTAATATATTTGTCTTTGTATATTTACCCAGGTCCCCTGTAATACCCTTGAAGAGTTTTTGAATAGCTTTGAGTGATTTATATATTCAATTTCACCTGATAATTAGAATTGGCATTATTGCCCAACTTATTCCTTTTACCTCCAAAACACTCACTAAACAGCAGACTTAAAGGATCTGTCATCTCTGTCTGCTTACCTCAATCTCTCCATTAAAATATATTTTATATGCTATTTATCTACTTGGAAAAACTGGGAAATAAAAACTTAAGCAAAGATCTTAATATAGTTCAAAATGATATGCTTGGATAGGAGAGGAAGAAGGAACAAGAAGACATCCCAAGCCACAGGGACCCTCTTAAATCATCTTCCAGCCTGCTATGGGCCTTGGCTGTGAGCCCAGGCATATTTGATGACAGTCAGGGTCCCCTGATAGGTATCTGGAGACTGTTTTCTGAGCCTCTTATTTATGCTCTTCCAGTCTTTGGACATGAGAATCTCATCTTCCTGGAAGCTAATGTAGCACTTTTCCCAATTCATAATACAACTTTTATTGTTATAATTATTATTTTTGGCTTTTTTTTTTGAGACAGGGTCTCAGGTTTGTAGTTCAGGCTGACTCTGAACTCACTGTGTAGCCCAGGGTGGTCTCGAGCTCACTGCAATCCTCCTGCCTCTGCCTTCTGAGTGCTGGGATTACAGGCATGTGCCACCATGCCCAGCTATTGTTATTATTATTATTATTATTGAAACAAGGTCTCCCTCTGTTGCCCAGGCTGGTCTTAAATTTGTTTATTTTTCATTTCATTTATTTATTTTTTTGGTACCGGGGATCAAACTCGGGTCCTTGCACTTGCGCAGCAGGCGGCAAAACCTCTGAGCTAAATCCCCGGCTCTTGAATTTGTTTATTTAAAAAAAAAAATTTATTAGCATGCTTGCAGTACATAATGATTATATTTATCATGGGGAGTTGGCACATATATATAACACATCTTAATTCTTTGTTTTGTTTTGTTTTGTTTTTGGTACCGGGGATTGAACTTGGGACCTTGCGCTTGCAAGGCAAGCGGCAGAAGCACTGAACTAAACCCCCGGCCCTCTTAATTCCTTTTTGTCCCCTTCCCCTCCCATCACTCCCGTTCCCTCTGGCTCTTGCCCTCCTTTCTATCTGAAAAAGCTCTATTGAAAAAGATCTCCCTATTCCTATGTTTTAAAAAAATTTTCTTTTTGAGAAATTTTTTCTGGTACTGGAGAATCACACTTAGGACCTTGTGCTTGTGAGGCAGATGCAGCACCACTGAGCTAAATCCCTGGCCCTCTACTTTCTATTATCTATCCTTTATTCTGCTTTTTATTTATACTTTGGATTTCTTGTATAAGAGAAAGCATATGATATTTATACTTGTGTGTCTGATTTATTTCACTTAGGATTATGGTCTCATGGTGGTCTTGACCTTGTGTGAGGAACCTATAACACCTTATACTAGGTAAAAACAAAGACAGGTTAAGGGTTAAGAGAAAGATGGAATAGACATTTGAAAAAAATGAATGCTTTGAAAATTGATGGTGTCCTCAAAAGCCTCACAGTTTGTCAATACAGACCATGTAGAAACAGGAAAATGTGTAAAAACAATGTAAAAAAATAAAAGAGACATCATCATGACAACTATGTAAAAAGCTACCTGAATTCATGACTAATATCGGCATTAGGTCAGAGAGCTATGTTAGTGATAGGGAGTGGTGCTTTGTTTATTTTATTATAGGCCAGGCTTAATATTTAATGAAAATAATGCATCGACAAGGTAGAAGCTAGGCATGGTGGCATATGGCTGTAATTCTAGCATTCTGAGAGGCTCAGGCAGGAGAATCTTAAGTTTGAACCCAGCCTGGGTTATTTAGTGACTTAGTAAGACCCTGCCTCAAAATAAAAAATGAAGAGGGCTAGGGAAGTAGTTCAGTGCAAAGACTCTGGGATCAATCCTTGGCACCAAAAACAAAATAAAACATCAAACAAAAAACAAAACAGGGTAGGGAGCTGATAGTGAGTCTCCTTCATAGTCTAACAAAAGTTTTGTTTTGGGGTGTGTGTGTGTGTTTTAGAACACAGTTTCTCAATAATAGCACTAAAAGCCAGGCATGGTGGTGCACACCTGTAACCTCATCACTCAGGAGGCTGAGGCAGGAAGATCGCCATGAGTTTGAGGGGAGCCTGGGCTACATAGTGAGTTCAAGGCCGGTCTGAGCTACATAGTGAGGCACTATCTCAAAACAACCCCCAAAAAAAGCACCAGTGACATTTGGGGCCAGATGATTCCTTGTTGCATAGGGCTGTTGTGTGCACTGTCAGTAGTATCCTTGGCCTCTACCCTATACCACTAGATGACAGCAGTACTTCCCTGGTCGTGACAATAATAAATATCTCCAGACATAGCCAGCTGGTCCTTGCGGGCCAAAATCATCTTCAGTTGAGAACAGTTATTTCAAAGTATACTTTTTCTAAAGAGAGGTTTATTCTTGACTTTTTCTGTTAAATTGTTCATAGAAAAACTCTGTTGTATGTCCAACCCTCCCAGTTCAGCTGATGTTTACTGGCTATGTACCATGCTCTGGGCACTATACTAGTGTCAAATGTAGTGTTCATATACACATATGTATTATTTTTCTATTAAATGCTAATAGTAATTTTCAGTGGCAGCAAGGAAGCTTTCTTTTCTCCCTCCCTCCTTCCCTTCCTCCCTTCCTGTCAAGGCTGAGAGTGAACCCAGAGCTGTGCACATGTTAGGTAAGCCCTCTACCACTGAGCTGTGCCCCTGGCCCGGCAAGGAGGATGACTTCATCGCCAGAGCTACTTGCTGTTTCAATTTTCCTGGTGAAATTTGGAAAAACACTTAAAATCCTGTTTACAGCTTGGAAGAAAAGACTGACATATGAGTCTGTTCTCATAGAACAGCACTGTGTTTAATCCATACTTTAACTCACATTGGAGTGCTTGTCATGCAGTGGCTGCTTCCTAAC